ACGTACGTACGCACGCACGTACGTATCTGGTATTTTTATTCCACGTATCGGTATCTCGTCCAGACAAGACTAAACTCGCAATGGCTTCTAGTTCATCTTCGGATCCTGATAGACGCGCAAAGGCTTTACAAGATTATCGCAAGAAGCTGTTAGAGCATCGTGAATTCGAAGCAAAGCTTAAAGAGAGTGAGTAAACTAATGCGAATTAAATTCTTGGATCCATATTAAGATTTTATCGAAAAATTCCATAGAACTTATGTCGTCATAACAACACAAGTAAATTTTGCGCATTTTGCATTTATTCTGACTCAAAGTATTTTCGATTGCGTGTTGGATGTATACGTCTCTAGCTTTCAATATATGCGTTGACAATTGTGTCCGAATTATTCAGCATTTATTACTTCAGAGTATAATGATGGAAATGTTATTTATTTTGCTATGTAGTTCGCCTCGAGCTTCGTGATCTTGAAAAGGTATACGATAAGACTGAAGAAGACATTAAAGCACTTCAAAGCGTTGGTCAGATTATAGGTGAAGTTCTGAAACAATTAGATGAAGAGCGATGTAAGTGATCCATAATAATAAGAATCGATACCAATCGATAATTAATAGTGAATTATTTTATCCGAATTTGATTGCTATTCTACAGTCATCGTAAAAGCCTCATCCGGTCCACGATATGTGGTTGGATGTCGCAACAAAGTAAATAAAGAGAAGCTTAAACAAGGAACACGCGTTGCTTTAGATATGACAACTTTAACTATCATGCGCATGTTGCCCAGAGAGGTTGATCCATTGGTATATAATATGAGCTTAGAAGATCCTGGAAAAATAAATTTTGCTGGTATTGGAGGGTTAAGTGAGCAAATCAGAGAACTTCGTGAAGTATGGAGTCCCGTTTTTTTGATCCGACATCCTACAAACTTAAAAACTACCATATAAATTAAATAAATTGACATTCCAGAAATATTCGAACTATTCTAATCGTTCTGTAGGTTATAGAATTGCCACTCATGAACCCGGAACTCTTCCTTCGCGTGGGTATCAAACCGCCAAAAGGCGTCCTTTTATATGGCCCACCAGGTACTGGCAAAACTCTTTTAGCCCGTGCGGTCGCTAGTACTCTTGAAACGAATTTCTTGAAAGTTGTTTCAAGCGCTATCGTTGACAAATACATCGGAGAGAGCGCAAGGCTGATCAGAGAAATGTTTGGATATGCTAAGGATCATGAACCATGCATCATATTCATGGACGAGATTGATGCAATTGGTGGGAGACGGTTTTCTGAAGGTACAAGTGCCGATCGTGAGATTCAGAGAACTCTCATGGAGGTAAATAAGGGATATCATCTAAATTTTTAATTTACATCATTTATATTTGTTACTATACATATTTTTTTATTTGACCATAATATAGCTTCTTAATCAAATGGACGGTTTCGACTACTTAGGACAAACAAAATTAATAATGGCCACCAATAGGCCTGATACTTTAGATCCAGCATTATTGAGACCTGGAAGATTAGATCGTAAAATAGAAATTCCGTTACCTAATGAACAAGGGCGTCTTGAAATTTTAAAAATTCATTCGGGACCCATTACTAAACATGGTGAAATTGGTAATTTTATCATCTTATTTATCATCCCATGCGAGAAATCAATATTAATATATATATTTACCATACTTTATAATCTTTAGATTATGAAGCTATTGTGAAATTATCTGATGGATTTAATGGTGCTGATTTGCGTAATGTGTGTACAGAAGCAGGTTCGCACAATTCTTTCTACAATTATTAATTTCTCAAATGATATCGATTAAAATGAAATTGGTGCCTCCTTTTAATTTCTAAAACCTCCTACTTATACTCTTTTATTAATAAACCCTAACCAAAAAAAAAAAAAATGCTCAAAAAATTTTATTACGACGCGTTACTTTTATATTAAAATTACTCAAAATTTCATTTTAATCTGATTTCGTTTTTATCCGTCACAATTAATATTATTTACATATTTTATATCATAAAAACTGTCTATATTTTCAGGTATGTTTGCCATTCGTGAAGAACGAGACTACGTTGTGCAGGAAGATTTCATGAAAGCTGTTAGAAAAGTTTCCGACGCCAAAAAATTAGAATCTAAATTGGATTATGAAAAATTATAATTTTAAAATTAAAATTAAATTTGTTGAATTTAACCTTTGAACATTTGTTTAGAATGCACTTATTTACATTAAAACTCGCTAATAATGGACTAAAATTTACAATTACACTAAAGATAAAGTTGACATAACTTAAAAAATATTTGGATCAATGTAGTTATGATTTGATTATCATGTGAGGTGATACATAACAAAAGCTTTTAAATTAATGATCCCTCTCACGAAATAAATTCAATAATCAAAAAAAGTCTAAACAATATTTTCAGACAAATCTATCAAAAAGAGTCTGTCAATTTTTCCTTTTTATTTTATTTATTTGTTTACTTATTATTAATTTTAGTTTTTTTTTTTTCTTTTTTTTTTTAAAAAAAAAAAAAAATCTGACAATTTTGTTTTATTTCCAACAATATTATTGGAAAAAAACAACGTATAAAGTGTAAATAAAAATGAACTAATAGCAAAACAAGGTCCCTGAAAAGCAAGTGTGGCTTCCCTGTTTAAAAAAAGGAATAAAGTTAATAATTCTTAAAAAATATCGAACAAACTTTACCCATTTTAAAATAGTGTGAATTCGTCGTCTTTTGGATCTATATCTATTTAATGCTTCTTCATCTAAACCTTCACTTTTTTGTTCGACGATTCAACATTTGAAACCTTATAAAATCAATAGCTATTGTCAAATTACGGAATTTTTATGCGGAAAGACTTTATGTACTTACATTAGTACCAAATTTTTCGGCTCTTCTTTTCTTTTTCTCCTCTTCGTTAAGCAAAGATGATGTAGTATTGGTTACATTGGAACTGCCAGTTGTTACCGGTGATGGTGTGGTCTTTTAAAATATAATTAAATAATATGCATGAAAACTTCGTCATTTCTAATTAAATAATTCTTTTAACTAGATGTTCTTAACTCACCACCAGGCCAAATTTTTCAGCTCTCTTCTTTTTCTTCTCTTCTTCACTTAACGAATTTGACGTAGCCGTTATATTAGGTGTTTCATTTTTAGTCTTATCAAGACCAAATTTTTCTGCCCGTTTTCTCAGTTTTTCATCATTATCAACCGAAGTAGTAGACTAATAATAATAATAAGGTTACATACAATTTCCAAGTTTGGAAATATCAGAAATCGATAGACAGATAATGCTTACTAATTTTCGGGATGGAAAAGGTAAAGGTGCTATAAAAAAAAATCCAGAAATTTTATTATAATGATGTAGTATTTGAATATTCAACCACCACTTTTATTTATCCGATGTTAATTACCTTTAAGAGGAGAATCAATAGGACTAGTAACTTCAACGCCAAATCTTGCAGCCCTTTGAAGTTTTTTATCCGCTTCTGATAATTGAGTTCCAAAGCGCTCTGCACGTTTCTTTCGCCTTTCAATTTCAGCGTTTAAATCAGATTGACTTTTACTGATCGGTGATGTCGGTTCGTCAAATACAATCTTTTTGCATGTGAATCCTGACGGTTTTACGAGAACATCAGGCTTAGTAGATTCTGAGTTTGTATCATTTTTAACTGAAGTTTCTTTGACATCGTCCGATTTTATTGTTTGAGATTGACCATCTTTGGATGCATCGGATTTTACTTTTTCTTGTGTACTATCTTTATTAGAAGTGGTAGAATGTGAAGGGGAAGTAGGAGAAATAAGCGAATCAAAAGTATTATCTTTGGATAAAGCATCAATATCACTGGAAAAAAATAGTAAAATATTAGTGTTGTATTCCATTTGTTAGCCATTATAAAGATCATTTTGAGACCAACTTACTCGGTAGTGAATTTTTCCCAATCAAAGTTATCAAGCCCTGAAGTAAGGTCATTTGGCGAGTTTAACAGATCTTTGTCGAATAAATCAGTTACTTCATTTTTTGAATCGGTGGTGAGTACCGTATCGTTGTTAATGACATTATTAATATCCATATTATTGGTTTGTTTTAAAGCTTCCTCTGATTTTTTACCCTCAGCCGTCAAAATTCTGGTTATCAATTCCTCCTTTCTACCAGAAACTGGTAAGTTTCTCTCAACTAATAGTTCTTTTAGTTCAGGTATTTTAAGTAGCCGAAGTTGCGCTTCTGTAAGCATTTTGAATTTTTTTTTTCCTAATACAAGAAAGAGTTTATAATTTTGTAAACACCCAATTATATAATTTAAGGCCAACCACGTGTAATTGCGAAAGTTTACGTATTATCACATTATCACATGAATTTAAACGATGTTGCTCTGTAGGATTTTGATAATCGGCCATATGAGCAACTAGACCTTATCATGAAAGTATATTTTCAAACCACTGTAATTACATGTTTGAACATAATAAATGAGTGTTACCAAATGAAAACCAGGAAGTCTATAGATAGATTACTATAAAATAAATATGATTCTATATTTAGACTTCCTGGTTTTCGTTTGGCGACATTCGAAAATCTATTTTACGCGTATCTTTTAAGCACAATTTTTTTAGATCCATAATGAATGATACATTGTTAGGTTTGGTAAATACAGTATTCTGTTTCAAAGAACATTCATTATATCTATAAAATTTCAATGGTTTTTCGAAATCAGTGAGCACCTCTAATTAAATGATTAGTTAGCATAATTAATTACATAGTGCGGATCATATATAGAACTGCTTAAGCCGAGTCGCGAGCCATACGGCAAAGCCGAGCCATTTACAGCTATTCTCATAAAATTTGGGACATCTACGTAAATTAGTTTATAAATAAAGATATGTCACGTCAAATAGTTTTTACTTTAATAACAAAATAAAAAAAATTTAATCAGCTCAAATCTAATATATATAACATTTCTATTGGCATATCAAAAAAAAATAAAAATTAAAAACTTGAATCTTTGTTTTGTTTTTAGTACTTTTACTGTATCTTCTAAATAAATAAATTTTGTTACATATATTTATATTCTATTATATAGTTTAAATTTTATAAAAAAATAATACTATATAAACAATATACTGTATTATATTTTTTTAATATACTAAATATAGTTAATACTCTTTAAATATAGTTTACTTGAACTTAAAAAAAATTTTTTAAATAAAAAAAAATTTAAAAAAACTTGTATTTAGAAATAAACTTATTATAACTTTATATAGTTTGAAACTAAAAAAAATCTGTATTTTAAAAAAAATTTAATATAATTTTACACTTAGAGACAGTATTGGCAAATAACAATATTATAATATCATATGATATATTCTTATAATATAGATTTACTGTATATAAATCATTTACTATAATATAGATTATATCATATTATTAATATAATTAACTCTGGATATAACAAATCTTTTTATAATGAATTTACTTTATAATGAACTTTTTTTAGAAAATTTATTATAAAGTTTAGTATAAAAACATAGTAGATTTTCTATAAGAAACTTTTTAAAAATTTTTATATATAGACATTATATGCAAAGTTGACTGTATATGACACTCCATATGATATTGTAATATGACAAGTCATATAAGTCATGTTATTAAATGACATTATCGGCCAATACTGCTTAGAGAACATGATTTAAAGAGAGTCAAATATACAGTATATTTATAAAATAAAGCTTGTAAAACAAATTTTTATTTTAAATATACTATACAGTCGACTCTGGATATAACGAATCTTTTTATAATGAACTCACTTTATAACGAGCTTTTTTTAGCAAATTTATTATAGAGTTCGGTATAAAAACATAGTAAATTCTCTATAAGGAACTTTTTATTAGACTTATTAACTTCAGGTTATATAGTTACAATGAGGGTAAGTTATTAAATTATTTATAGTTTAAACTTGCAATTTTTTATAATAAAATTAATTAATATATTTTGGAGTTTTATATTTAATATTATTTTATTTTAAGAGTTTAATTAATATATAGTATGTCTAGATCTAAAAATTTCTACAAAAAATATAATAACTCTAGTAACAAATTAAGCACTTTGAGTCCAAAATTCTTATAAGCTAAAGTTTAAAAAATATGCAAAGTGAAAAAAAAATTAGTAATTAGAATAAAAAAAACTCAAGAAATATAAAAGACAAAAGCAATTTGCAAGAAATAAGAAGTAAAAAGACTCTAGAAATATGAACGATAAAAGTAATTTGCAAGAAATAAAGAGTGAAAAAGACTATAGAAAAAATAATAAACAAATAGATTATTTTCAAAGTTGTTCTAGAAATATTTTCTTATATTATTCTTGAAGTATTTTTAAAATTGTTTCTAAAATACTTTTAGAGATTGTTTCTATAATACTTCTAGAGGTCATTCTCAAAATACTTTCAAAGTTGTTTTAAAATATTTTTAGAAATTATTTTCAAAGTATTTCTAAAGGTTCTTGAAGTATTTTTCTATTAAATAATTTAAACTATTCAGAAGGTTTTCAAAGTTTTTTAAAAAGTCTTTTTCTATTAAAATATTTATAAAGTAAAAGTTTTATCACTAAGTAGTTTTTATAAAATTTAATTTTAGATTTAAAACTAAATCTTATTTAAAAAATAATTATTTATTATAAAATTTTTTAATTTTAAACAAAAATGTTTCTGAAGCCAATTAAAAAATTATTCAAGTTCTTTATTTTTATTCTCAAGTCTTAAGCCAAATGTATATTTTAAATATGAAAATATAGATAAAAGTTTAAGAAATACACTACAGATAATTAATATATATTAATATTCTTGAAATTAATTTGATCAGGAATGTTGGATATTAATTTGTTTATATATTTATATATATATAAAATAAATAGATACTATTTTAAAGAGGCTTCCAAATAATCAGTTATTAGATCTCAATAAAACCTATTAAGAGCAATGAATCTTTATGGATTATACAATAATTCCTTTGATATTAAAAACTATTAATAAAGGATTATTTTTAGTGGCTACTATTACTAATATAAAGAATATCTTAATAAGAAAAAGAATTCGAAGTAGGTTGATATTAAAATAAAAAAAATATTCCAATTTCAAATTTATCAAAGTACTATTATATTCAGAGTTGTCACATTACTATGTTTATTCTATTGGTCTTTAATTCTATTCACTTTTTTCATTTTTCTATTGTAAATATTCAGTATTATTATTATTTTTTTTTTTTAAACTTAGGCAGTTTTGCCAGTGTTTTATTAAGATCCTAAGTATTATTAATATAAATACCTGTTTACTCTTAATTTGCAAA